ATTTAAAATAAATTGTACATTCGCAGGATTAGATGCATATCACATGTACAAAAAGATAATTTAAAAATTAGATACAAGTTATGTATCATGCATTAAGATCCATTATTATCAGTCTAAGAAACATTAACCCAAAGAGCAACATAAGAAGTATTACTATTACCACATGAAAAGGAAACTTTGAAATCTAAACGTGAACTAATAATACTTGTGTTCGTGTTAAACCATTGGGCAAAATGCTTTAGTGAATCTCAAACTATTACAAAGTTCAACTTTTGACTCTTCAATTATTAAATGGGTACTTTTAGCCATCTAGCTAATTAAAACTCATATTCATAACTCTTCCATCAACTTGAATAATTATGTTCAATGGTAGATGTGATTCTTGACACTTTTGGTACTATTTTTGTTAGATATAATGACTCAAATTGACGAAAAGACTATGAGTATATGTTTTAATTAGTTGAAGGGTTAAAATTACCCATTTAATAGTTGAAGGGTCAAAAGCTAAAATTTGTTATAATTTGAGAGCCATTGGAACATTTTATTTTATTTTTTTCTTGGGCGAAGGGGTAAGGGGCAAAGGGAGTAACCGTAATTACCACTGTCTTTGCTACAATGTGGCGGCCCTGGTTTTGAGCCATTTTTTGGGGCTATTTTGACCAGATTTATTTAAAATGCAAAGAAATTAATTATTCGGTTAATAAAAGAATTAGTATGAAAGAGTTTTGTTGTTTCAATTTGAACATCACTGCTCTTATTTAGATTTTAGTTTTCATAAAAATTTAATCCAATTTAAAATTCATTGTTCAAAAAATGAAGGCATAGAAAATAACAGCTCAATAATTGATGAAAATCTCAATTACGTCATTTCATATTTTTGTCTAAACCATACAAGTAATTGTTCCAATAAGAAATTAGAAATAAACATATCAAAAATATGGAGACTTTATAATTTGAAATATACCTACTCAAATCACTGCATTTTTTATGTTCATTTTCACCTTAAATTTACTCTTTAAAATGAGGGGAAATACTCTTTTCTTTTCTTTTTTTTTTATGGTAAATAGGGAAAAGATACGACAAAAACCTGTAGGAATACTTTCTCTTTAGATTTTTTCTTCAAATTGCCTTAGGAACTAACATGTATGCTTAATGTTTCTATCTAGTAATAATATAACAACACTCTTTAAATAGTGCACGTTTAAATGTGTCTAAAGATCTAAAATTGCCAAAAATAATAATTAGTAAAACTAATTTTCATAGGTCCCAGCTAAACTAAAATATTATGCAGGTCTAGACTGTAAATTGCACGGCCAGACTCTCCTAATTTTGGTGACGAATGTTTAATAGCGCCCATCTCTCCATAAATAGTATGTATTGCTGCATTAATGATCTAAATTATTAAATTTCAGCTACCACACTGCAACTCCTATGGTTGGCCTAAAGTGTTTCTACAATATATCAATATACATTTATTCATAAAAGGTAGTATAGTTTTTAACACATACTTAAAAGTAATTAATTTATTCAATCAGAGTAATTTCACCGATGTGAAACTACTTAGACGAGCTCAAAAAATTGCATCGGGTTATTAGACAATTTTGCATTTCCATACAGTGAAGAGTGAATGGCCAAAATTATCACAAAACTATTCAAAATTATATTAATTGGTCGTTTAACTTCTTTTTTTTTTTTTTTTTTTTTTTTTACAAAAAGGTCACATAATTCCTAAAACAAGCCTTGAGAATCTCTTTCTGCTAGAAATTTTAAAGGATAAAATGTCTAAATAATGCCACCTCACTCTTTTCTCCATCCCAATCATAGGAGTATCCTTTACTACCTTCCTATCACAACCTCCTCTTCTCTTTCCCCTCCACCACCACCCTTATCACTTCCTTCTCTCGTCCACTTTTTACTACTCTCGCCACTGACTTCTCTCCTCTCCTCCTCCACCACCACTCCCCCAGCACCGTCGCTCCCCTCTTTCTCTTCCTCCCCTCATTCCTCCCTCCCTCCCTCCCTCTTGTCCCTCTTGTCCCTCCCCTCCCCTCCTTCCCTCACATTCCTTCCCCTTCGCTACCCTTCTTTCCCTATGACCAAATCTGGTCACAAGGTCCTCCACTACCCTTCTTCCCCCATGACCAAATCTGGTCACAAGGTTGAGGGGAAGGAGGGGCGGGGAGGGGAAGGGGTGTGAGGAAAAGCAAGGGAAAGGAGGGGAGGATGAGCAAGGTAAAGAAAGGGAGGATAGAGTGTGCAGCAGTGAGGTTGTGCAATAGTGACGGTGGGTGGGTAGTGGTAGAGAAGGAGGAAGAGGATGATGTTGTTAGTGTTTTGTTGTTATTGTTTTGGTTCATTGCATTTACCTCTTATGAAGTATGGCCAAAATACGGACTAACCCCTAAAGTTTGATTTTTCTTTAGGGTTAAATGCAGAAAACCCCATGAGCTTTCATGGCCGTTGCACAGTACACTCCGAAATATATTTATAGGCATTTTACACCCAAACTCTACTGAAAAGTAACGGATCTTTACACACCGTTTATTTTACAATATAAATGACAACTTTATCCTCAAATAATAATTGAACGGACAAAAGCATTTTTCGTCCCAATCAAACCCATTATGTCGGGCGGAAAGTACAAGGCAAAGAGATCTTGACATAAGTGGTAGCCTCCTCATTGTAGATCTTGGAGAAACTGAATTCCACAAGCTTCATCTTGAACCTGGGATCCATGACCACAGCAATTGCTAAAATAAAGCAGCAAATCTTCCAATACTTATCAAATTTCTCTTGCATGGATTTGGTGAGGCTGCTAATGAAGGGATCCTCGCTTCCTACTGCGCGTCCAAGCTCCAACTGAATCTTCCAAGCTTCGTGGAAGAATGTGTTTGTAGTCAGGACGGTTGGGGCTGTCAGGAGGTTAGCCGTCTCAAAAAGGGGTTTCAGGTACGTGCACAGGGTCTCCACCTGCTTCCAGTCTTCCAGTGACGGTGCCTCCTTGTAATCAGTGTCTGAAGTATCCAGACACGAGAAAACTTCTTTCAGTTCAGATGGAGCCAACAGCATTTCATATGTTGTGTTCCATTTAGTTAGGTCGTCAATGGCTAGAACTTTTGTGCTAGGCACTTGAAGTTGCTGCTTGAGCTCAAGAAACTTCTCCTCGTGGGATTCTGAAGTTTTCGCATACTTCACACTGTCTCTAACCTTCTTAACCGTTCCGAACACAGACGTTAATGCATCTTGGGCAATGCTACTCAGACTTCTAGCGAGACAATTGCCCAGCAAGAGCAGACCATTGAGACCAAGAGGGTTCTAAACAGAGAGTAGAGCTCTTAAATTATCAACCGCTGCATCACTCAAGGACTGATTTATGGTGACAGAGAATAACTTTCCCTCCATGCTCCAATCTGATAAACAAGCAGCAACTGCATGGCTGAAAGCAGCATCTGAATCTGGATAAGGTTCCATGATGACGTTGAGAAGCTTCCTGTGCATTTTCCACTCACTATCAATAAAATGCCCACTTAGAAAGACGTAGCCTAGTCCTCGGCAGGAAGACCACATATCCAGGGTGAGGCAAATATGTCCTGGCATTGCTTCAATCACCTTTTGAATGGACTGTTTTTCCTTGAGGTAGGTTGCAACACAATCCCCCTAGGACAGCGTTGAAACTCACCATATCAAATAGAGGCTGAAGATTCTGAACAAAAGCAACAAAGCCAGGATGCTCAACAATGTTAAGTGGGTAATCATGCATGATTATCATCCTAGAAATCTCATCGCGGCAGCGGTCAGGATCAAATGAAACGTAAGGTGCTGCAGTAGTTCTGTAACGACGTCTTGGAGTATCAGTGCCTGCCCCATATCCACCAACCTTTAAAGGTGCACTAAATGGGCTGGACTAATTTTTCTCCTGATTACGAAGGACAACTGGGCTGCTTCCTTTAGCAATATGGCATTTAAGATGACTAGTGCCTGCTACTTTTGAGCCCGTACTGTATGCGAATAATTGCTTGCATTGCTTACAACATGCCTTTCGACATCCAGCACCAACTGTTTCAATGGTGAAGTGTTCCCAAACTATAGACTTCTTCTTTCTACGCTCATTAGGTTGAGTTTCTGGGTTGCTTGGTGGCACTACAACAAAAATTGCCTTTCCTCACATTCCTATAAGGACACTTGCTAGTTTGTGTCATTATAGCACTCCTATCATGATACTTATTACCAACTCAATGATATATACTCTATTTTTTTTTAATTTTATCAGATATAAAAATAATAATGTGCCTTTAGACTACCTAACATGACACTTGAGAAAATGTGAGATGTACAAAAAAAAAAAGAAAGACACAAAACGGCATCGTTTGATTTTGGCGGAAGATTCATTTGCTTAAAATACTCAAAATTTTCATTCTATCGGCCAAAACACTTAATCAAAACACTTGCTCAAATTTTTCATTTTCCGGCTCCACCATTTCCAGCCCCCCCTCCCCCTCTTTCTGTCTCTGTTGTCAGATTCCAACATAGTTGGTGGGAAAAATGGGTAGCAGCCAGGCAGCAGTTTCGTTCCGACGTAGTTGGTTTGGGTATCGGCGCCACCGTCCTCAACTCCTCCCTCTACATTGTTGACGGAGGGCAGCGGGCTGTCCTCTTCGACCAGTTCCATGGTGTCATCGATGACACCATTGGAGAGGGTACTCACTTCCTCATCCCCTGGCTCCAGAAGCCCTTCATCTTTGACATCCGTACCCGTCCCCACACGATTCTGATTACGATTAGCCCCACCTTCATCTTCATCATTAGGATCTTCCAAGCATCGAAGCTTGTGATTGGAGCTCCGATTTCCATAAAGCTTCAACCGTCGCTCCCTCAGGCAGCCAATAGTAGCATCAGCAACAAAATCTCTCTCGAAGGAAACCCACTTCCGGGTCATCATCTTCTTCTTCTTCGAATTCGGCTCAACAAATTTCTCCCCTGACTCGAATAGTTTATCGAGATTCGTCTTCCAAGTCCGATCTCAGTTTGCTTTTTTTGGCAAACTACCTGGTTCATTGGCTTACTTTTACTAATGGCAATCTCGTTTTTCGGTCTCGCCATTTTCCTTTTTCTTACCTTTGACTCCGATTTCACCTCTTCCCCCGTCTCTGTCGCTTCCGAAGGCGTCCAGGTAAACTGAAAGCCCACTCACTACTTCAAATTCGTGGTTTTTGCGTTCTTGTAGTTGCACAGATATGCGGTGCATCTTTGTGTGTGTGCTTTTCCCCCTATTTGTTGAAATTGTACGCGGAAAGTTGTTTTATAGTTATTTTTTGTTCAAAATTTTGACCAAGTTTGTGGTATTATAGGCCTGTGATGGTTATAAATTCTAGTGTTTCAGAGGTTTCTAAGCTAAAAAAGGACAGGGAAAGAGGAAATGGAGTTGTTTGTGTAGAATTAGTAATAGCCTTCGACATGTTTGATGAAATGCCTCGATAATCTTTGTTAAAAATCTAGATGGGTTTCAGTTAAAAATTGCAATTTGGATTTTTTAAAGAGCTGATTTATGAATTAAATTTGATTTTTTTTCCTGTTTTATAGTTTGAGCTTTCTGTTGTGTGGCGAAAATAAAAAATGGTGTATGATGCTTTGAGTTCTAATAGTTGTATAATGGGGCTTTGTGCTAAGTCATTCTTATTTTGTTCGGCATATGTGATTTTGGTAGATTACTTATGGGTCAATGATCAAGTTGATGCATGAGAGAACAAAGTTTAGGCTACATTCACATGATGTATCATATGGCTCTGGTAGTGGGCAGCAGTCCGTCACTAGTTTTCCCAACGTTGATGACTCAAACAGCTATTGGGTATGTTTCTTTTTCTAGTATCTATTTTTTTCTAGATCATCATAATTTTCTAAGGTTAGGTATGATTGAACTTGGCTTGCAGATTGTTAGACCTGTATCAGATACCAATGCCCAACAAGGGGATACAATCAAAGGTGGTACCATCATCAGGCTGCAACACATGAGGACCAGAAAATGGTTACATAGCCACTTGCTAAATGTAAGTTTTACTATGATGCCTATTGCTGTTATGCCTTATGCAATTAATCTTCTTATCAGTAAATAGCATGTAATGGGTAAAAATCACTATGCCTTATGAACTTATGTTGATAGTTATTAGGCCGCTCACAGTTTGTCTATCAGCTTCTAAAACCGTGATACTTCTCTTTCTTGTGACAGATTCATAACTGATTCGACAATAATGTACTTCCTTGGTTTTGGATAAGCATTCTGGTTTGTGTTTTCTTGCTAGTGCTCAACATTTGTGTAGATGACAGTAGATTGTTAGAAGAAAAATTTCTTTCCTGATAGGGTCCTTGAGACTCATTTGCATTAAAAACCATGAAAACATTATTGATTGTTCCGTATATACTCCTTTATCTTTCCATTTCCTTGGTCCTGCAGTCTTGTGTTGTCAAAATCATGCTTATATCTTGTTCTTCCTCTGTTTTGCAGTAGCATTTGATAGAAGAACTTTCAGCCTACAAGATACAAGTGAGCTGTTGAGAGTCGATTAACTTTCTTGATGTGCAATTCATGTAGTGTAAATGAACGCTAGTTACACTTTTAGCTCTTTCTCATTAGCTTACCATTTGTCAGGCATGTCTGGACATCTGTATGGACTCCTTGTGGCCATTAACCTTACTAGTCATGTGCTCATCTGTTATATATGAATCATTCCTGTGAATCTTTTGATGTATGAAACATGATGACAAATCTCCTCTTGCTTATGGGAGTTGGCATTTTCAGTTCTTATAATCACGGTATTGCTCAAGTTTGATGTTTCTAGATTTTTGCATCATAGCATATTTTCTTATATGCATTTCGTTCTTTGGGATAATTTTACAAATCCTTTGGGTTTCTGATTGATGGAATGTATAGCAGAGAGCACTACCTGCAGGTTGCTTCTACATCAAAACAAAAAAAAAAAAACTCCTGACAATTAAAAGTGTCAGCATAGAATTCAATATCCTAGTGTTGTACTATAGCTATCCTGACACTTTCAATTATCAAGAAAAGGAATTTTTGTTGGCAGATGAGATGTTATAACAGCACTGTTTTCCTGACACGTTTGAATATATGAGCCTATCTCCATATTGGAAGGAACAACACTCGTCTGAGGTGTGAGGAAAGGTAAAGTGTTATATTAGATTATTTATACTGACACCTTCAAATGCCGTTAAAGGTCATTTTTGTTGTAGTGTGGTGTTTCCATAGTGTTGGGCTGTGGCTCAACTGGGACAATCTCATTGTTTGCAGCAGCAGCAGGAATCTCAACATCAGTGGCGATGTCAGGGCAATTCTGTCAGCAAATTCAACAGAGAGAAAGTGCAAGCCACGTGCTTTGTTTCACCGTGAAATGTGTAAACGGTCGTTTTCTAAGGGTGCAAAGTACCTATAAACATATTTCGGGGTGTATTGTGCAACGGCTATGAAATATGTGAACTATGTGAATATTTCGGGCTGTATTGTCCACATAATTTTATATATAACATAACCTCCTAAAGTTTGAAATATTCACATAGTTCTATTGTGTTTTTATGTAAAGTAAAAATGAATACAATGTACCTTCGATTATCGTGGTTGATCCAAACATGTTTTGAAAATGGGTATATGATAAAATATCCGCTTAACTCTCTTATGATTTTATATAAATATCCATTTAATCCCGATATACAGTATAGTTTTACACAGCGGAGCCACGTGCAAGCAAGTTTGAAAAATTAGTTTTTAGGCACAGGTAATTTAAAAAATTTTAAAGTTGATCTTAGTTGACCCCACTAAATTTTACCAAATTCTCTTTTCTTATATACATGGGATAATTGCATAAACCTCCCTTGAGGTTTCTGACACTTGCACTGACTTCCCTTGTGATTTGAAAAATTGCACTGACCTCCCCTGAACTTACTAATCTTTTGCAAATTCAGTCCAAAGTCCAAACGATTAAAATATTGTTTTAGGAAGTGAAATTAGAATTTTGTACCAGATTTGCCTTTTGTGCTACATGTCCAATGAATGACAAAGTACTACAAATCAATTAATAATTAATAAACTTTAAGGGGTGTAGTATAAATATTTGATTGTACTAGTAGGGTGTAGTACAAGTCAATTAACAATTAATATTTGAGAGTACAAAGATATTTGAGAGTAAACTGGTAGGGTGTAGTATAAATATTTGATTGTACTCTCAAATATTTAATTTTTGTTAAATATAAGACCTACCAGTTTTCCTTTCGTAAAAATATTAATGTAACACTTTTTCAATTTTAGTTACAAACATTTATGTATTTAACATAAATTAAATGATTCAGAATAAAATGTCCATAAAGAGCCAATACTTTACTCATCTAATGGATGAAAGCCATAGAGAATTAATACTTTATGGGCCGTTTCTTTTTTTTTAAAATATTTAATTATATTAAACAGATAACCTACCGATTTCTTTTTTGTAAGAATATTACTGTAACACTTTTTGAATTTTACTTACAAACATTGATATATTTATCATAAATTAAATGTTTGAAAGTAAAATATCCATAAAGGACCGGTACTTTAAATGGGTAATACGTATTTGCCCATAAACTACACCCCTTAAAGTTTATTAATTGTTAATTGATTTGTAGTACTTTGTTATTTATTGGACATGTAGCACAAAGGGCAAATCTGGTACAAAATTCTAATTTCACTTTCTAAAACAATATTTTAATCATTTGGACTGAATTTGCAAAGGATTAGTAAGTTTAGGGGAGGTCAGTGCAATTTTTCAAACCACATGGGAGATCAGTGCAAGTGTCAGAAACCTCAGGGGAGGTTTCTGCAATTATCCCTATATACATTGACCCCAAACAATTGAATAATTCTTACCATCACCATAATTTTGAATTTATTTCAAGTTATTTATAGAAGATAGTTCAAGAATAAATTCATCCAAAGTTTCCAAAAACAAAGGGTGAACTTTCTTGAATTGAGTGAGAAAATCAAATTTTCAAATTTTAAAGTTTCAAAAAACAAGAATTTTTCAAGTGGACGATAAACTTTTTTATTTGTAATACAAAATCAAGTTACTATTAGTTATAACACGGCAAAGATAAATTTCTTAAAAGAAACCCGTACAAGATCAAGTTGATGGTAATGCACAAATTATTTTAAAAAAATCAAGAGGTTCATTTAGTTACATTGAAAAAGATGTATTTAACAAATTCATAATGAATTGATTTTGTAACATCTTAAAAAAATGAGTACTCGTATGGTACAATTTGAACTTATATGTAAGCTAGTAATTAGTTTTTTTAAAAATAAATTTTATTGTACTAAAATTTGACCCACTTAATGTGGAGTCTTAGCTCCGCCCCTGGTTTTACATCCTCCAAATAATCATTCTGTTGTAAGGTGGTTTGATTCTTGTTCTATACAGTGTTTAAGTAAGACGAATGCTAGCATTCCAACTACAATGTTAGGGATGTTATTTTTCATTAAATTTTCACACTGAAGTTGTGTACATATATTAAACTGTTAGGAGGAATGTATTATAATATACAAAATGATAAGGGGTTAATAGTGATTTCTTCAATGCAAGAGGCCTTGCATCTCTCCATGAAATTAACACTCACCCGATCAAGGTCATCTGGAACTAGAATATTCTATTCAGATGCCTCAAGCTCAATTCTCAGTTTGCCGACGCAGCGTGCGCATTTCCACCAGACCAAATGCTCACACCCGTCATCTATATATCTGCTCTTTTGCTACACAGAGATTGCAAAGTGCTGCTCCCTCTGTCCTAATATTAGAGCTATTTTTTGAGAATTCAATTTTTTCATAGAGATATGGTAATCATTATATATAGATGGGATGATATTGGTGAATTTATATATGTATTATTTGAATTCAAAATATTCTTCTGATATATATATATATATATATATATTGAGATTTCAAAAAATTACTTTTTCAAATGGTAAGATTAAAAAGTACATGTTTAATTTAAAATGATAATTTTTATTTTAAAATATTAATAAAATAAAAACATGATAATCATAATAGGACGGAGGATCAGTATATACTCCACTACTGGATATATTAAATTAATTAATGGAGCGTGTAATAGAAAAAGAAAAGGTCAATGGATATTTCTTGAAAGAAGTCTCCTTTAGAGAACCAGTAGTACGTGTACTTGACGACATTACCTGGAGAGATGACAAAGTTTTTTTTTTTTTTTTTTTTTGAAGTCTCAATGGCAAAAGCGTTTCACATTTGGTCCAAAGACTGCAAGCAACAGAGCATTAGACAATGCCAACTCTTTTCCATGCGTTTTATGTCCTTTTGATAATAACTAATACAACAAGCACATGGTGGTCCAACTTTTTCATGTGAACTGATCAGGGACACCATTGATTAACAAATGACAGAGAGAAAAGCAAATTGATCAGGTTACAACATGACAAATTTTATAATTTCACATCAAGACATGACATTTCCAAATGAAAAGGGTAAATTACTAAAAATCCCATATAGTTTTGTATATTATTACATAACCTCTTAAAATTCAAAGTATTCACATAACTCTATTGTGTTTCTATGTAAAGTGGAAGATGGATAGAAAGTACCTTCAATTATTCCGGTTGACTCAAACATGTTTCAAAATTGCGTGTGATCAAATTATAATAACCACTTAACTCTCTTTTAATTTTGTATAAATATCCACTTAATTCTAATATAGTTTTGCATCCCTCCAAATAATCTTCTTGTTGCAAGGTAGTTAGATTCTTGTTCTGTCGATGTGCTTAAGGAAGACGGATGCTGGTATATCAATTAGCAATGTTAGGAATGTTATTTTCCATCAAATTCTTACTTTGGAGTTGTGTAGAAATATCAAAATGTTAGCAGGATCATGTCATAATATACAAAATCATAAGGGGTTAACAGTACTGATTTCTTCAATGCAAGAGACCTTGGATCTTTTGATGAAACTAACACTCACCCGACCTAGGTCATCTAGAACTAGAATATTCCATTCAGATGCCTCAAGCTCAATTCTCAGTCTCCACAAAACCAAATGCTTTCACACTCGGCATTTATAGAGAATTTAATACTTGCATTGAAGGTTAAACTTCGGTTTCGTACTGCCAATCACTGTGTATTTTCCTTCTTTAGGCTGAGGAAGGAAATTGAAAGTACTTGTTGCTAAAAATTAAGGGTAAAAAATAGAAAAACCCCGCGATAAACCTAATATACAGAAAAGTATCCCGTAGTTTCAAAACATACAACACGACATCTCATGTTTTGAAATTTGATACCTCTCTCAAGCAATTTAAATTTAAAAAAAGATTTGTATTTTACCTCTATTCACGTGATATGGTCTCAAAATCTGAAACCTCTATTTAAATTTGCATTTACTTTCACATATTTAATTTTTGTTAAATACAAAACCTACTAGTTTTCTTTTCGTAAAAATATTAGTATAACACTTTTTCAATTTTAGTTACAAACATTTATGTATTTAACATAAATTAAATTATTAATAATAAAATGCCCATAAAGAGCTAATAATTTGTTTATGTAATGGAAGAAAGCCATAAAGAACTAATACTTTATGGCCCATTTCTTTTTTAAAAATATTTAATTTATATTAAATAGATAACCTACTGGTTTCTTTTTTGTAAGAATATTACTGTAATATTTTTTGAATTTTACTTACAAACATTGATGTATTTATCATAAATTAAATATTTGAAAGTAAAATGTCCATATATAAAGATTTGGTACTTTGAATAGATAATGCCTATTT